CACTATTTGTTGGTAAAAGTGTAGCCCAAGAGTTGGCGGTAGGTGATGTTAACTAGCTGCCCTTCCTCTTGTCTATCACTTTAAAATTAGCATTTACAACCCAGTTTCATGAGTATGACCCAATCCCACCTTTAATAACCTACAGTTAAGTAAGGCAGTTCAGATCCCACCTTTAATAGCCTACAGTTAAGTAAGGCAGTTCAGGTGAACTATTTCCTATTCATACAGGTGTAAGATACGTATGCGTGTATAAACTAATCAAAACTCAAGATCGAGTTAATACTATAATCTCAATACATCAACATAATCAGAAAGAATTATGATATTTTAAATGGGTTTAGTTTATGAAACGTATGATTGTTTCCCACTCATATTTAATTAATTCATACTTAAATTTACGAATGAAAAAAAAATATATTGAAAATGTTTAAGGTAAAGTAACAAAACCATTTAAGCATTAGTTTACGAGATAAAACTTTTAATATTAAATATAAATTAATTATTTTTTATTGCACACACTACAAAACCGTAGGAACTGCGAAGTAATAACATTTTTGTCTACAGCCATAGAATATTACTATAAGAATATCTCATAAATTGGAAAATAAAATTCTCTTTTTCTATCAAAAATATAAATTTCGCAAGAACCTTTCGAAATTTTAATATCCAATTTTCACCAGAGGCATAATGAGAATCATAAGTTTTATTCGGGAAAGCTTGAAATTGGTGCGGAGTTTCGAAAACTGTTACAAATGGTATTCAATATGGCTATCGTAATTCTCAATTAGCATATCAAGCACATCCCTAAACGAACCTACTGCAAGTATTATGTTTTCTGGATATTGTTAATAGATTCTTTCAATGTGTTCCAACTGATACGCATTTTATTCAAGTCAAGAATCGCTTATTGTTGAGATACACAGAGACAGAACAGAAATAAAAACAATGCCAGTTTTATATATGCAGATAACACAGCGTTGAAACAGTTCTCTTTGTATAGTAAAGCGCAAAGCTTTGCCCATGAAGGGTTTTACCGTTATAAGTCCACAGACTTGTCACTGTGTCACTGGTGAGCAGGTTAAGTAGTTTTTGAGATTAGTAATAGCGTTGAAACAGTTCTAGGACAAGTAGTTTTAACATTAATAATTACAAATGTTGCGGTGTAATACAGTATTGAAATAGCTTCCCTAGGGCAAGAAGTTTTTAAAATGATTTGTTTATATGTAATTAAGCACAAAGCTACCCAATGGGCTATCTGTGCTCTGCCCACCACGGGTATCGAAACCCGGTTTCTAGCGTTTTAAGTCTGCAGACATGCCGCTGTGCCACCGGGGGGGGGGGCTTTTAACATGTATAATTTTAAACGTTACAGTACATAACACAGCGTTGAAACATTTGTTAGATAAATAACGTTAAACGTGTACCTTTCTTTATATTTATCCTGTGTAATTCTTGTTATTCCTAATCAAAATAAGTACATTTCAAGGGGTTGTTTTACAATTTTCATCATTATCACAAACGTACAAAGAAGTACTCTTCTAGATGCCCCCCCCCCCTATCACCACCAAAGAAAAAAAAAGCAGTAGCTCAAAAATGTTGGTGTTTAAAAAAAACCACACACTGGTATCATAATTGGAGTTTCCTACGAAGTCGGTATATTTTGGACTTATAATGGACTTTCTATTGAAGGTTAGTACAATTCTACAATTATATACATATATATATATATATGTGTGTGTGTGTATACAGCTTCATTGTTTTTCTAATGAATTTATTAATTACTTTGCATATAGGTTATTTCTTTTTTTTAGCTGCCACAAAAAAGATTCGGAGTTATAATATTAATTACTCATAGTAAGTTAATTATATAGTTACCTACATGATCTCTGTACTTGTATTTTTTCTTTAGCAATTTTAATATATACGTATATTATAATTAGCTGTTTCCATACAAATTGTGTTGTCTACAATCAAATCGTTAATGGCAAAAATTTCCACACCTCCAGTTTTTACAACCAGTTTGCGTTATTAGGTACAGGTCGATGAAAAACAAACACACACACATACATAAGTGGCAATTAGCAAGGAAGTTAATTTGGGCTAGTCATGAAGTCCATGAACTGTAAATTCGAAGGTCCACTGCTCGCGTCTCGTTACCACAAATTCGCGCTACGGACTTTGGGGGGTACGTGTGCGTTATAACAGTGATAATTAATTCCCATTATTTGAGTTTTGTGGCTCAAGAGTTAGCGGAGGGTGCTGTTCCATTAGCTGTCTATAGTCAATAATTTCAAAATTAGTGACGATTAGCGCGAATGTCCTAAACAATCAAACCATTTACCACCACTACCACCTTCCCCTTCAGGCGCACGGTTTGTGATAATATTAACAATTGTGAATTATCTCTAGATGGCGACATAAGCAATATTTGTTTTAAAAGTTTACATACAGCTGCACAATGGTCTATTGCAGGAATTCCCAAACTTTGCCACCCCTTCAACTCCTTCACTGTATATGCGGACCACCTTCCGTTAAAAACAGTTTTAATCTTGGATAAATGATGCACCATATGCGTATTTTACTATCTTTAATTTGACATTTATATATATTATTATATTAGTTTTAAAATGTCTTAGCATTTTATTATATTCGTTACTCTTTCAGTAAATGGTAATTTCATAAATTTGATGTATTACCGCGGCCCCTCTGGTCTGTTGTGTTATGTCAACCACGGGGATCGATGCCAGAACTTTAGCGTTATAAATCCTCGGGTTTACCACTGAGCCATAAAGATGTTTAACTCACCACAATAAATTTATTCCGATGTTTGATTTAAAATGACAAATTAGTTCTGTATTAAAATAAAAAGGAACAAAGTTTTTTCAATATTATTTTCTGAGGATAGAAGAACTTAAATACATTTTTATTTATCCCCTTACAAAGTGCTTATCAAATGTAATTATGTATATGTGTGTGTTGCTAAACTGAGGAAAACAGTGATAAATTTTACAAACTGGCTATCCACGACTGCTAATAATAAACTTGCGAAACTAGCGTTACTACGAGTAGAACTAATAAAAGTAACGTATCACTAAGCACGACACTAGGATAAAAAACAACGAATTAGGTAGAAACTTTCAAATATTCAAAGTGTTCAGATTTTAAACTACAGTTACCTGTTTCTAAACAGGTATGTGAAACAGTTATATTTAGGGTTCGTCTACGCGACCATTTAGTTCCTAAGTAAAATATCAACAAAACTTGTTCTTTATCAGTTACAGTTTATATGTTACTGGCTAACAGAACGTTTTATTTTCGACTACTGCATTTTTTTTATGTGTGTGTAAACCAGTGCTTCCCTAAGTGGGGGCCGTGAAGCTTTTTCTGGGGGGCTGCCAAAAATGGGCAGAAAACAAAAATGCTGAATCAATTAAATGATACAGTATGTCGAAAGGAGATGTTATTGTTTTTTACTCATGCATTTTTATAGGTTGGGGGCCTCAAACTTTTTTATTTACATCAAGGGAGCCCCAGACTAATAGTTTGGGAACCACTGGTGTAAACTTATTTACATCAAGGGAGCCTCAGACTAATAGTTTGGGAACCACTGGTGTAAACTACTAATTTTATCATTAATTATCATCTTTTGATATCCTGTAATTTTTATGTACAGTTTTATAGTTGATCATTTTTTTAATATTTTTGTTCTGATATTATTAATGTCCCAGAAATCGTGAGACATGTAAACAAAAACATGACTCTTTAATAAGAAGATCCTAAATTACTGGCAACCTTGGTGGAACAAGTAAATCTAAATGACAACCTTTGCTACCGCAGCTAATTTTGCTGTGCAGTGTGCAAAGTTACCACGAACCGCAGGAAATCTGTGTTTATGTAAGAGTTATGTGTTAAAAAGAAGATACGGGCAAATCGGTTAGAAAAGAAAAACTTTTCAAGGTCGGATGTGAGCTGTTTTGTGGAAACAACAGCAGTAAAGAAGAGTTTAGCAAGTAAACGAATCTGGAACTTCACGTAGTAATTACGTAATATCACATAAATTAAAGCTACATATCTTGATAAAGCGTAACACTAGCTTAAGCCGTATAATCTAATAGTGTACTAGTAAA